TCTTTGTGAGGAAACTTATTCCACAGTCTTCTAAACTTCACAAAACTGTTACTTTTTAACATTACTATAAAGAAACTTTCTTTTGAGACTAGACATCAACTTCATTTGATTTTTTTTTTCTCCCTGTATTGCAGCAAAAATAATAGGCAGTCACTTCATGAGTCATTTGTTTATCTCAGTGCCTTTGAAGCATGGATGTGATCAAGGATATTAACATGTTTTCTGAAGCAGAAAAACATTAAATAACCAAAGACCTTTAGCAACCTCTAGCGATATCAAATAAGATGATACAGTATCACTCATTTAACTTGATCTTTTCACTTGGGTTTCCAGGAGATAGCACCTAAATTCTGCTAAAATCACAGACTTATTCTAGATCTGTACTACTTCAAGGGCTGAAGTTGATTCACATGCTATAGTAGGGCTCTGCTTCCACTCTCACACCCAGAAAGAGAGGAGAGTTGTCAGACATACCTGGCACCTAGAGGCTGCCACTCATATATTGTCAGATCTTCAAAGACAAAAGTGCCCAAGACAAAGACTACTTCAGCAAACCCGGCTACTTCATTTGTGTCTAAATGGGAACGACAAACCTTTGAAAATTTCATCACATAACTGTCAATTCATGGTCATGAATTTTTTGTTAATTTTTTATGTTGTCAATTTGCCAGGCAGTTGAGAACTCCGAACACCAGAATTTAGTGGTAACAAAACTGTTGTAGTCCTGCAGACTGCTAAATTATTATACTAGGAAGGTCCAAACAATAACACCATGTAATCAGGATTCTGAAGCAGAAGTCCAAATAAGCCATGATTTATTGTGTAATCAGACACTGTTTTACCTCATAAGGTCCCCAAACTCTCTACTACTATAGATCACTGACATTGTAATTAAGTGGTCTGCAGCTACCAGAGGCTAAAAGGACTTAATAACCTTGCAATTTAAGTCCGCTAAAGAATGAGCACATTGCACCTGGCTTGACTTGCAAAACTGGCTTCTTTATACAAGCCAGGAAAAGGACTTGCTAACTCAGAGCCAGCTTTACCAATAGTTCAGAGCTCCTCTGTATCTACTGCTGTACTGGGTCTGGCTGGGATGGATTTAACACAAGTAACTAAGCAGTCTGCTGTGTCCAAGTGCTCAGAAAGTGCCAACTGCAAGACTCCCCTCTCTTGATCTGATGTCATTTTACATATATGCTGTATGAAACTCCCTATGTAAGACCAAGTTAAAGTCTACTCTCTGGGCTAACAGCAGTTGACAAATTCTAGCCCCCAATACAATGGATGTTAAGCTTTGCTTCTGGAAGGCAAAATCCACATTGTCTGTCATCAACACTGGTGGTCTAGCAGTTTAAGTGGGGAATTTCACTTTTTCTTGGGACTCCTGCACACTTTTTAAGTTAGGCACCCATCTCACACTACAGACAGGAGGCAGAAATGCAAAATGTAAATGCGTTTAAGCAGCTCTCTGCAAGATCATCTCTGTTCTTAAATCTACACAAGGTCTTATACCAGTCTTTACCCAGGAGCCTTAGACAACCTTTTTACTATTGGAAAACCTCTGGCAGACCCTGAACCTGTGGTGATGTGCTTATAGGCAGAAACGATGAGGGATGTACAGAACTCTTTATTCTGCAGAATTTTCTAAACATCTCATGCTTAGCTAGATCAGAGTTACTCCTGTCTGTCAGAGAGGTGACAAAGGCATACATAACTAAGGCCAGGGCAGTGTGCTGAGTTGAAGTCTCCAGATTCTTTTCACAGCACCATGTTAAAGAGCCCCTGAACCATCACTGATAGAAGCAAACTTCAGCTGGAGATGTCAAATACTTAATATAACCCAGTTCCAGCTGAACTATGTAACATACTCACAGATGTGGGTATCATTAACTTACTATCAATTTAGCAGTGGTTTTCAGTTCCCCATTACAGGCTGTATTGACCAATGCTATGTACCTTCAAGTAAAGAAAACTGCTACATGCCTCCGTTCTTCCTATGCAAGTATGTGTTTATACAACTACTTTGCTCAGTACCTGGCCCTGTACAGAACGGAATGTGATTCTAATGAAGATGGAGTTACTGGTTTTCAATAAAAGCACAAGTAGTTGTAAAAGGTCAGTAAGATTTACTCTGGTGTTGCCTTAGAGATCATTTGTTATTCAAATGACAAAGGTACTATGTTTACAAAGTACAGTGTGATCAATGGCACTACCTGTTTATCAGGCAATTCTTGGCATTTCTGTAATTTCTCCATGCAGTAAGACTTGAGCTTCACTTACTCAACATGAGCAGCGGAGGCTCAGAAATAATCACAGATTATTGCTGAGACCTTCCAGAAAGTATTTCAAAAAGAGTCTATCAGCTTCTTGTTCTTGATGAGCCATTTCAAATGTCAAAATGTTGGGTCACATTTTTCAATAATAACTACAAAAATATAATATTATGAAAATTTTAACTCTGCATCTTCCATGACAGCCTCTGAATCAGAATCATGGAAATGCACATCTAAAAAGGACTTCTAAGAATACTTTTTTACTTTTTGAGGTTGCTTTACCTTTTCTGTAGTTTTTAGATCTATAAGCATTTTCTAGGTGACCTATAGATCATCACAGAGCAAATTTAACAAAAGGCTTGCTTTCATTAATGACCTTTTACTCATCCCTTTGAAGTCATTCCAAACCCTGCATTGTCTTGTACCACAAGTTGAAAATCACTGATGCATTACAGCTATGTCTACATTCAAGGATTTGAAGACCATCACCAGCCATTCCAGGAGTGCATTCTAGAATTCCATCATATCATTTAGGTGCCAATGTAGAACATTTCAAATCTGATAGCAGCTATAGACAAGGAAAGAATGAAATCTGGAGGAGAAAACTGTTTATTAAAGTCATCAGTGGTTTGTAGAAAGAATCCTGTGAAATTGCTCATTTAACAGGATGTTACATCATTGTTTATGAACCAAGAAAAGTGTTCATATCACAAACAGTCACACCAAAGCTTCACTGGAGTCTAATCAAACACAACTTTTCTATTTACCATTCTCCTGACTTAAATTTGCATGCCAGGCCCACTGGGCTTGGTGAATTCTACTTGCTTCCTAAAAAAAAACCCAACTATTAACAACGCTTTTGACTTCTCTTGTCACCATCTGAGACTTTCAAAGCACATCACAAGCATCAAAAGTCACTGTATTGTATCACTATCGCTTATTTGTGGACAGGGAACACAAAACTCAGGTATTTAAGGGTCTACCTAATTTCAGTTACCTTCTATGAAAAGTCTGACTCTGAGTTTAACTACAGTTGGATTTCTGCCTTAATGCACCAAGAGTCACAGAGCAATTCAATGGGAGAGACAGAAATAGAATACAGCTGTCCCAATTCCCAGACTCCATTCTAACCAATGACCATGTGGCCTCCCAGCTTGGTGCTTACAAAAATACACCAGCTGCTGTAGTTTGCATCTGCAAACTATTCTCTAACTCCTTTTAAATGTACCTTTGTTCATATTCAGGCTCAGCCGAAAAGGCCTGGGGGGAAGGGAGTGACAGAAGAGTTGAGAAGCATATAGACTTTGTGCCTCACGGTTTTCTCAGCAGAAGCAGGTATCAAATGACTCAAGGAACTTTTACTCCAGTGCTACATGTTCATTCACTCAGCTTCCCTTGGGACACAGAGAGTGTGCCAGCTGGGCAGATGTGAAGAGGAAGCCACAAGAAGATCACAGAAGCCATTTCTAAAAGCCAGTACTACTCCTGGTCTCAGCATATACCTCACTGGTCACACATGTGCCTTTATTGTCCCATAAAGCATGACGTCCAATATTTGGCCTATAGAACAGCTTTAATTATAATCTCTGCCCCCAAATGGCAGCTGAATGCCCACTGATTCTCACTTCATGCTGTTTGCTTGTAAACAAACCCATTAAGCACCAGTGGAGAAGTCTATTGTTATTACAATGACTATGAAAGTTATAAAGATGCAAATTACATAAAGGTCTTTGTTGTTATGTAGCTAGCAGTTCAATATGAAAATCATCTTACTTGGACAACTGGTTGTGGGGATCTTCTCCCCCCTCCCCCAAGTCTCTCTGTTGTGCACCAAGCTTCATCTAAATGACTATGAGTGATGGGCAGGGGAACAGTTCTAAACCAAGTACTCTATGAACTTTCCTCATATTAACCAGGTAATTCACTCAACCCTCCAAAGAAGGGACTTGTTGACCTATTGTGCTCTACGCAATGTGCACATCTCAGCACTGTATTAGATCTCTGGTGGCTTCTGTGGTTAGCCAAGTACAAGCTGTAGCGTTTCCCAGTTGATTTCTAGTCACTAATCCATACCTTTCATACAGTGAAGGCTTGGATTTTAAGTAATAGCTTCCAGTTTCACTGGCGCCATTCGTGACGGGTGCAAGTGACAGAAATAAAAAGCTCCTAACTATTCTCTTTGCCCCATGCTTTGCAGACACAGTGGGACCAATGGACAGTACCAGAAACTGTAAACTGTATCACTACCATTTGCGAAGACCTTCCCATAAATGGTCCATGCTGGAATCGGAGGGCAAAAACTTCAGTTGTCTTCATCGTACTGGTAATGCCAAGTGACCAGCTTTCTTATAAGCCTGTCCTTACAAGGGGGAAGAAATCCTTGCCAGGATAAAATGACTGTCTCTTCCAAGTCCTTTTGAAACACTGCAGCAAAGCTTACAAATCCACTGTAACCTAGCCCTGATTAGCTTGATGATGATCTACAGCTACCAAAACTCTTGAAATATGATATTTATGCCCAACACAACTGACGTGATTACTCCATCCTCTCACTTGCTCAATCATTTCATACCCCTACACGTGTATGTACATATGTATGGTAGGTGTAGGTGTATGTATATACACAAGTGTAGGTGCATATGTAGGTGTATGTATATACACCTACAATTCATTCTAACTCTCTTGGGATGGACAGTTTCAATTTTACTTCTGTATAGTACTTACCGTAATGGGATTCTGATCTTCACTGTTGCTGCGGTACAGAACTCTTAAAAACCAGTAGCCTAAAAGATAAAAAGACTAATATTACTGCAGGAAGAATAACACATAGTGAGCAAATTTAAGCCCTCACAAAATGAGCAGACAAAATAACTTAGTAACTACTAAGAACAATAAAGTCACTAGAAAAAAGTCAGGAACAGTTCATTAGCAAAAAACACACACGTAATGCATATGCATACTCACAGGCACACAGAAACAATAGAGGGGAAGGGAGCAATACTTGAACTAACTGTTACCTATTTCAAGCAGATCAGCTGATATGACTGGTACCTGAAATTAACTTTGTTAGTAACACCAGATCCCTGTTCAAAATTCCTCTCTACATCTGATTCCAGGTTGCACCTCCATTAAGAATAGCTGCTCTTGGATGTTGTGTATAGGTAGGCACAAATGCAGCTGCCTTGCTGTTGTGGTCCTGCCACTGGCCCCATTTCCCTTTCTCCTCAGACCAACATAGACAACTTGAAGGCAAATCACATTTGCACTGCATCTTTAAAGCAAGGCTTGAGGTCACTTTACTGAATAACCTATAAAAATGAAAAGCTGTCTTTTACAGCAATTGAAAGCAACAATAAGAAATAAAATTCTTTCATTTTAGAAGCTGCTATAGAAATGTCTGAATTTCAAGAGGAAGATGTTCTACAGTCAGCCACAAGGGCCACTTCTGGAACTTTTAATCCTGCTTTTACTCCATCTTCTTATTTGTGCTCCCACTGTGGTCTCTGATCTCTAACCACTGGGCATGCATTATGTATATCAAGCCTTCAGGAGCTTCTGAGCCTTGTATCTCTGACATCTGAACAAGCAGGGACTGGCAGGTGGGATTTTCAAATACGCTCTGTGCTGATTGCTGTGCTGATTGCTGCCAGTGAACTTGACAGGAGAACCAGCTGCAAGCTGAGGATTGGTGACTTTAAAATCCAAACCAGCATTTTCAAGCACTTTGTGCCAAACACTAAATCTCTTATCAACTCTTCTCTCACTCACAAATTTGCTCCCTTTCACAACCAATTATGGCTTCTCTATCATAATTAGGATGTGTTAGCAGCAAATGTAAAGGAACAGCACAGAGGAAACAAATTAGCATGTTACTCCTATGGGAAGTAGTGACCTGCTATTTACAAACCTCCAACTGACTTTGCGAGTTACTTGACAGTGTGAATCAGACTTACTTCTTAAAAGGAAGCTGCATGTCCACCATTTCTATCACACCAAATCAAACTTCCCTGAGTCTCTTCTTGCTACATCATGAAACTCACCCTAGCTTAAAAACAGTACTTTGGCAAGGTATACTGAGCTGTAAATTTGCTTTGTCCAATGACTAATTCCCAGTTGGAAGTGAACAAGAATCTCGAGTGCTGTCATTAGCAGCTGTGAAAAAACAACAGGCTGGGCAGCTGGGTTATTTTGGTGCCTGGAGGCATAGGGTCTTGCTTGTTTCATTAAGTGACATTATTTGGTTTGAAAGATCCTGGACTGTGCCTGAAACAAGAGACAGGGCACAATGATACTCTTTCTGAAGATGGCCACTTTCTTCCCAAATCACAGGGTTCTCTTGACTAGAAAACTATAGAAATGACCCTGCATAAACATTGCGGAGATAATTACAAAATAAAGAAACATTACAGTGAATCCACTGACATCTTTAATTCCAAACTGCCACCATCCCAGAAGGAACAAACTGTGAGTTAGACTGACTCTTAAGTATACAATTAAGCCTGTCAAGTTCTGACTCCGTAATATGCTGTTTAATATTGAAAAGTCTGTCAGTAAACCAGTATGTGGGATTAATGTCATAATGCTTTGGTTTTGCTTCCTCATGAAACTATAGAACAATTTAGCTGATATGAGTAACATGTTATTTATACTCCTTTTGGCAAGAGTTTTAATGCTATGTGGGATACTCCCCTTTCCCTCTAATATAATAGCCTTCCCTGGCCTTTATGGATTTAAATTGGTGAGGGGAGCTGTGTGCGTTCCATGTGGAATTTACTCAGTAATTCTATTAAGAGCTTCCCTGCACAGGAATTAATGTTCTCATCTCATTCAATACTCGTCCTATTCATTATTTAAAACAGAAGACCTAATCTCTCCCTGCACTAAGTTTCCTCAAAGGATTTTCTATTAGTTTCAAGGAATTCAAAAGATTAAGCTTCAACACTTCTGTGTTTGCAAAACTATAAAACTCTAGGGCTTACAGTTAGAGCAGAAGGTTTTGCCATTTCTGGAATTTTTGAGAAGGAGGGTGTCAACTGAAAGTTACAGAGCCTTCAAAAGAGGCCCTTTACTTTTGTTCCTCACCGTTTTCAGGTCACACTTCAAGTGACATTCAGCATTAGCTTCTAATGATTTCAGTAGAGCTTCTAATGATTTCACTAGATTCTCTAGGCCAATTCATTCACCTGGCTTTAACTAGCAGCTACCCCCAAAAGGCCTCAGAGCTCGTATCAGAAACAAGTATTTCCCACCACAGGTGCTTGCACTAAGCAACAGCAGAAGCACAAGCACTGTGGCTGGGGCTCAGTGCTGGAACAAACAGAGAACGTGGTAGAGAAGTTGCCTTCATCTTCTCTCCTAGATTTTATACTCCCAACTACTGAAAATGAATGGAAAAACTGTTATCATTCCTCAGTGTTTTTGTTTTTTGATGAATTGCAACAAAGCCAACTGGGCTGTGACATGCTGTGCTGCTGACCATTGTGAAGCTCCTCTAGCTGGGTATGTCTGCTGCAAAGGGGCTCACTTATGCTAATGCTGGCTGTGACTACAGCGGGCTGCATTTCTAAAACTTAGTTCACATGTCATTAAATCCACTGAATACTATCTAGGCCCATTTACTTATCAAACGAATTTTGAGGACTAGGTAGATACAACTTGTTTGGAACCCTGCCTCCAGGGATGATTAATATTTAATACAAGATTTGTAGGTTAGGTGTAATACCTTTTATTATAGTGACTTCTATCGCTGGGAAAAGCTGACTGTTTTGGGGGATCATAAGTCCTTTTTTAGTCCTAAGAAGAGACAAACTTTCAGACACAAATGCCTTTCCTCAGTTCTAAGAAAGGTCTGTATTCCTGAAAGCTTGCCTGCCTTGTAAAACTGTACTATTGGTCTAATAATAGGGACCATATAAAGATCATTGTGGCTGTACCCACTCTGGCATTCTGATGTTATTAAAATCAAGATGAAAAGAAGCAGGAATTATACCTCTCACAAAAATACAGTACATCCTCCTGCAGGGCAAACTGTTTACATATTCTGATGCATGAGAAGCTGCATTTTAGAAAGGATCACACAGGAAGAGAGAGAGTTGTCCACCTATTACTGATACCCGTCTCTGTCATTTTCTCCCTGATTAGTTCAATTCAAGGAACAAACTGGGAGGAGTGATATAAGTAAGCTGTGCTTTTAGATTTTCCACAGAAAACAAAAGAGCTGATTTGCCTCTCATTTCTGTTAGCAAACAAGTAATTCCTAATCTACAACACTGTTAACAAGAGGAGGTTCAGACAGAACAACTTAGATTTGCAGTCATTGCAAGAAACACAATTCAGTAAATAACCAAGAGGATAAAATTGGTTAAAGAGATGAGAAGCCAGAAACTACAGTCCCAGTGACAGTGTACACTTAATAAAAATTAATGGGATGCTTTAAGTAGCCTGTGGAGATATTTCTCTGAGCCTTGCACACAGAAGTAATGTCATGTAGGCAACCTTTTAAATGAGAAAGATGTGTGTCTTGTGATGTACTACCAAAAAACCAAGCTATTTTAATAAGGGAATGCTAAGTGAATGGAAGAAGTGAATGGATTCTGGTCTGACTTCCTGACTCTGCCACTACAGCTCTGTGACCTAGAGCGAACCACTTAAACATTCAGCACCTCTCAGTGAAACTGGTAACAAATGCAACAGCAGGCCACACATTAATTTCACACAATATTTTTTTATCCTATAGTTCAAGAAAAGAAGAGCAGTTTCCATAACAACTTCTACATTTCAGGATTCCTAGAGGGATGACTATACTAAAGAAGACCAAGGTACTTCAGTTACCCATCTCTGACAGTGACCAGAGCAAGGTGTCCCAAGAAAGATGTAAAAATGCAAAAACCTGCCAAGGAGAACTGTCTGCCTAACTCCAGGCTGTCATAGTTGACTGATTGCACAAAACATGAGTGTTTATATTCTTTAAAACAGAGATCAGACTTGGGTTAGCAGCAGATTTTCTCATTGTTCACCTTCAAGATCTTTTTAAGGACCAATAGGTGTGTGCCTGATGACAGCCCTAATGCTAAGGCTCAACTGCTACTGACATTGAGCTGGGCAAGTACTCAGCACAAGTAGAGGACCAAGGCTCCTGCATACACATGGGGACTGAGCTGAGCCAACAATCCAAACAAGCAGCAGGTTGGAGAGAGGAGGAACACAAACCTCAATCCTCACAGTTTGCACATAAGGGTCTGACTCTGGGTTTGAAGGAGTTGTCCGTCAGTTTCTCCATTTAGAAGCCCTTTCAGAAGCTGGTGTGCCCTTGAGAATGTTTAAAAGAAAGATAAGGAACTTCATCAACAGAGTTGATACAGAAGCTCAAGGGACTTGAAGCACCTGTGATAAAAGACAGCAGTTGAACAAAGGGGTTGAGGATCACAGTGGTGCTGAAATGCTGTATTTAGGTGTGAAATGTGATAGTTGGACATCTCTGTGTAATTCTAGAACCAACCACAGACATACATGCGTACTGGGAGCCAAACCCTGTGCTGACACAAGCTCTGGGCAAGTGTGGGGTGTCAGTGGGTTTGTGACAGACAGAAAAGTACAGCTTGGAAGATGGCTCTGGAGTTTGAGAAAAGAAACTCTCCCTCCTACCCATGAATTCAACTCACAGTGTCATGAGTAATTGTGCAATGAGTGGGAAGAAAAGGCATTAACACTTACAAAATAAACCTCCAGAAATCTTTTAAATAGAAAAATCACCTGTGGGGAAAATTAAATAGAAAAAATGTGG